ACTTGGTTAATTTATTTGACTTGGCGTAATCGAAAACAAATTCTCTCCCTCCATAATTTCGCAAGTGTAAAATATCAGGTTCCGTACAACGTATTATAAACGCTTGACCGTCTGAGCAACCTAAATAACAGGCCGTTTTTCAACGACTTAACCAGTTAGCTAGCTGGAGTGGGAAATTCTAGCATACCCATATTGACGGCGGTTTTTCACCGACTTGACCGGAAAAGGGTTAAATGAATGTATCAAGTATACACATGAATTAGTATTTGCCCCAACACATTGGTTTATTCTTTATTCTAAGTTGCGACTGATATGTTTGTGTGGGCTTGATCGACACAGTCGTAGAATAATAAATAAATTTTGTTGGATTAAAACAGTTTGCAAGCAGGGGTACAGCCACGTATGACTGCATGCATTTTAAAAGGGCGTACACCCTCCCCCAGGTCTCTTGGCTGACAGTTTTTTTTTTACAAACCTACCCCTTGGAAGCTTAAAAATTACGACCGCATGGATTCACATCATCTGTGGGGAGTGTGGATAATATGAAAAAAAAATTAATCAAAAATATGACACCCCTCGGAATTAAATCATCTGTAGGGGTGTGGATATAGAAAAAAAAAATAGTCAAAAAATGACACCTCTCGGAATTGAACCATCCTTACTTTTTGTAGAATTATGACCCCTCGGATTTAAACCATCCGTAGGGGGGGTGTGGACAAAAACTGGAATGACCCACACAACACAACTTCTGTCCGTCGACATTGTTATGAATGTTAGCACATAGCTACCCAAGTGTAGCACTAGTCTATTTATTGAATACCGGATACAAATATATTCATATATTACCAAAACCAACATATCCGCTTAAGAACATACAATAAATATGAAATTACGGTTTTTACCTCATCCGTGTCACGGAGCGGAATCTCCACAGTGCCTGCCATCTTGGATGTTTGACACTAAAAGTAGTTGCGATTATTAGCCCTCATATTTATTATTTTTGTAAGAATAAAAAAACATTATGACAGTTAGAAAATTGTGTTTAAATATAATAAGATGGTGCAGTACTCTATATTTGGTAGTTTAGAACGTTTTCCAATCATGAGAATTTTTATGAGAGCAAATATTGCCGTCATAAAAGCTAATAAGTGACTTACAAATTACAAATTATAATCTAAAATGTTAGTGATTGTTTGACGTTCAGGCAATGAACTCATTTTTCATAACACTATTTTTTGTTACATAATTCATGCTTTATAATTCATGTTTTATTGGTGGTGTTTCGGCATTATTTCGAATAAATTGGATGAATGACTCATTGCAGGTGAATTTGATGATTATTATTGGAGGAAAGTGTTACCGAACGTTTCCTGTCATGTGACGTCATTTTCTTCAAAGGAACCAATAACCTCGCTCATTTTGCATCACATGACTGTCTTCGATTTTGAAAACTACCGAACCCCTCAACATTATCATTCTGTACACTTTTAGTGGGACGTTCCGATGTGGATTTTTCTTGTTGGCATAAAATTAAATACGTATTTTGCGAATTTGATGGTCGTATTTGATCAGCACGGCTTTGAAATTGCCTCGTAGCAGTTGAATAACCCAGGTAAGGTGTCATATATTGACTGGCTCTCATCAAATCCAGACAGTCAATCGTGTTGCCTGTTGTTATATTATGGTTGCATGTTACGATATGAACCGGGGATATTGAAACAATCAGACCACATAATCCAGCCAAACCGCCCGGCCGACTGTGTGTGAATGACGATATTTCATACTGCAGCGGTTTTGTGATCTATTGTTATCTTTATCATGAATAATTGCCACAAATTCGTAATACTTGCAAACCTGACAACAGCCATCATCATATCAGTGCTTCGGTTCAGTACCGTCGACACATCTAACCTGCACATTATGTTTTCAGTATTCATGTTCTGACATATTTTCGTTCCATATTTATTTTTGTTGTCAACTTGGTGTGTTTTCCAAGGACATAGTCTTGGTCAGTAAATGCCAATCGTTGATTATTTTTTGCTTTGAATTAATTATTTGCATGAAATAAACAATGGATACATGAATACCATTTTACATCCTCTCATCATTGCGTAATAATACACTTATAACTAGGCGTGGTGTAGTGGTTGACATGGTCGCGACCGCGATCTGAGTGAATTAATTACATCGATATAGTAATGAGAGTAATGTGCCATTGTCAAGTTTGATATGATCCAAACATCATCTGTGAACTTTTACTCTGATCCACATCCACACTCCTGACGTGCTGTGTTTGTATCTTGTTTCAAAACAAAACAAATGGAGACAGAGGCCTGCAATAGGAAATAGTCATCGGTATTATATTTCCACTATTATTACTAAAAGAAAGGTGTGTTTGTTCCCTGAAATTCCATCATTTGTGTGCACTGTAAATGAACATTGGTTTATGAGACTGAAATGTTTATTATTATTCAATTAATACTTTATATTAGTATAAGCATTTTCCATTGACAATATAAACCATGTATGTTAAGAATTACATGTAGCTCTTCCCTAGAAAAATAAAACAATTAGTGCCCTTTGGATAAGGTGTTAACAACCCATTGTTAACTGATCTATTATTACTTGTAACTGTTAACAGTTATTGAACATGTGTTCTGAAGGGCCACTATTTGTATTGGTATGTTGTAATCTTCTGAACAACCTGTAACTTAAAATAAACATTTTGGTCACAACGAAAAACCATCCCAAAATGTCTGTATAGCAAGATACTCCTTGTATAGATTGTTTTTGAAATCCTCTCTAGTGGGCAAATCTGTGCATATGGCATATATTGAGTCGACATGTTACAGGGTGTTTATTAATACAGAAGACTCCACATGTGCTATTGGTACGTTGAAAGTGGGCTAACTTTGTGGTAGACATAACACTTATAGGTAAATACGAGTACACAATAATGTTACATAGTACATTATTTTTTATTACATTCTAGGTGACTACAATTTAATGAACTTGGGAGAGAAACAATGGCTGACGAGACTGAATTTTTAAAGTTGCCTGTCGAAGATAGGTGCATTCATAAGGTATGTCAAACATTTTAAATTTAACTTGGCACTAGAACTTATCCTGTAATACTATTTCTGTCGTGTTTTATCCCATGTAACTACTGTATCAGCTCTGTTATCTTGTATCTCCAATAGAAGTGCAGATACCATATTTCCCTGGTCATAAGCCCTCAGAATGTAAAATCAAAGAAAGCAATGGGTGGCTGTTTACCAGAGGGACCCCCTCTGAAAAGATGAAAGTTTTTTGGTTTAACATTGTAACAATGTTACCACCCTCAGAAAATGATGGTAAACTGTAATTTGCATATTTATAGTGTGTAAAAATGATTAGGATTTGTGAGAAAACAGTCAAAGGCAAGATCTTTATCATTATATTTGTTGTGTATTTGATTGTATGCAAAGCAATTTCCGCCATGATGTTTTTCTGCAAGATTTGACCTAAAACAATGTCCTCTGACCTAACAGTTCAAGTCTGTCATTAAGCAATTGAACTGCTGTTTCATGTTAACGTAATTTTTTGAAAATTTCTGAATATTGACGATGACATTGCGGAAATGAATTAACTATATATCTATTAGCACTGATTTCGATAAAAAAATGACGTTTATTTTTTTTCAAAAAACTGGTGATTCGCATTTTTTGAAAGATAAATTTAGTGTGAAGGAAGTATTTAACACCTTTTATGCTCATCAACAGACCATGTCAAAGCATACTAGTAGTTGGACACTGTGATTATAAACAAGTAAACAATGACCAGGTTTTATGATTTGATATCAGATTTTTGGCATTATGAAAACTACCACTCGGAGATATGGATTACTTTAGTATTGCAACACTGGGTTCATCGCAAGTAATCACAGAACAAAAAGAGTGCAAACCCTCTTGCGATGTTTGTCCATGCACTGTAAAATTTTAATATGTCAGTTTTCTTGTAAAAGCCAAACCAAATGGCCTTGTCGAAGGTCACTACACACTTCAACAAGAAAACTATTGTACCAATCATGATGAAACACACATTTTACATGCATATTTTATTAAATGTTAACCCATTGTTAATGCCCGGTAAAAACACTGTGGGCCTATAACCGAGGATGCCCTCAACTCATCAAAAATTAGATAAGATTAATTTCAGTAATTATGAGCCAGGAAGGGGCTTATGACAGGGATAGTATGGTAAACCAAAAATCGCCATTGCTGTATAACTTATTTTGGCCATAGAAGGGCATACTAGTATGTTACTAATAGAGAAAATACAGTATCATGATATTGATACATGTATATATTGTCAATTGTAAGAATTGTCTCCATGAATCGTATATTTTGCAACCTCTTTACAATTAGAGATGCGATCTAATTTTTTCTCTTCTATACCTCTACTTGTTTGCAGTGCCATTCAATGTATTGAATTCATCAGAGACTGCATTGCCATTGTACACTATCATGACAACTGTGTTTATATTTTGTTCACTCTGTAATCAATCAACGGGTATATAAACAGTTGGTAAAAAGCAACTTCTTAGAGTGGAGGAGACACTCCACTAAATATATTTGAGATAGTGGATTTCATTGATTTCTAATCTATGTCCTGTAATCATATCAACGTATTGCTTACATGATGTGACATGTACATTATGTGTTTAAAATAAAACATTAGGGTATTTTTAATTTAAAAAAAGCAGACAGTGTAATGTTTTGATCAGTATTATGAGGAATGAAAACTACTAATTTGTTTTACAGTCCTGGAAAGCAAGATTGAATGGATATGAAGAAGCAGCCAAGCTTTTTGCAAAGCTTGATGAGAAGAGTCCTGAGTTTTCTAAATATCTTGGAATTTTGAAAAAGTTTGTAATTGATAATAATGCTGTTGCACAGGAGAAAGGCCTAGATGCTGTGCTGGTGTTTCTGGAGAATGCTGCTGTGGCACCAAAGTAAGTAGTATGAATTTTTCAGGTAGAGAATAATATATGTACATGAAATGGTTTTACAACAATTTGTGCACAATACAGAGTATCAGCAACATACATTCTCCCAGTGTACTTAGTGGAAATATTTATTTCGGCAACTAGCAAGTTTTCAGTATTACTCTAAGCAAGAATAATTTGAATCTAAATTTGTGAACATATCACAGTACTTTTGTTTAATTAAATGTAATCATGTTTTTGGAAGAATCTTTTTTATATATTTATGTGGTTGTTTGAGTTGTATTCTTATGGATAAATGGAGTTGTGTTATGTCAGATATGGACAGGATTTATTAGAAGCTTATAGATTCCAGTTGAAGTATACATTAACCAGAAATTGCATTCACTATATGCTTAATCATTAAATTATTTATTCTGACCATAGATGCACCTGTGTCATTCATGTGAGTGTATGATTTTATAATAGAGCGAATATTGTATTATATTTGTACTGTTTTAGTTTGGTTACACTCATTAACCACTAAGTAAATTCGCTAATTACATGTACAGTATGAGCCACACAAGCTCCCTTTTGAAACCTTTTTGAAAGCCAACAATGTACATTGTCATAGCATGCATTCCACTCCTGATAAGTTGAGATTAAATGCCAATTCAAACTGAAAGGCATTCAAACTGCTGTCAATATGTGTATTTGCCATGTTGGCAGGAATCGTACTGTCACAGTTGTTTTAATTCTATGAACTGCTGGTGATTACTTTGTTTAAGCAGTTTTGGGTATCACTATAATTGCTGATACATGCAGAGTTGATCTATATTATATGATTATTTTTGTCTATGTAAACACAGTTTTATATTTACCTCTAAAATAAACCTGACATGCTCATAAAATAACATCAATTGAGTCAAATTAAAACATAGGCGGGTGAACAGGTCAAAATATGAGGTAATTAATCACACTGTAGTCCTCCACTGATTGTACATTTAAATTACTGGTGCCCCTCCCTGTACATGACTACATGTATATTATTTAATACTACTCTGTAACAGTAAGTGCAAGTTAACATTTTCAAATAATACCTTTTACTGTTTACAGTGTTAATAAGCAATTAACAAGGGGTGATACACTACCTTGTTGCCATAGTGACACATTTTATTTGCCCATAGCATTATTGTAGCCATTTTGAATAAGGAAATAATTAAAATCCTACAGTCATACTTATGCTCATAATTTTGAGAAAAAAAAATAAGTGGACACTGAAATATTTTCATTCCTATTTTTAAAGATTTATAAGGAAGGAGAAATCCATTATCAGACATGT